TCCTTGAACACCCTCCGTGCTGCTGGCAAGCATTCAGCACCTGTTTCTGCTCCTTTAAATTCCTTTGTTACATTAATGACTTCTCACTTTTATTTAAATTAAAACACATACTGTATTGGATTTTTTTACTCTTCTCATCCCTGCAAGGATATTGGCTCATCATGGACACAGAGGGCAAGATTCATTATCTGTCTGTATTTGGTCAATGAATGGCACCCTAAATTACCTGTTTCTTCCAGTCAAGGTCACCCAGCTTAGCTTAGAAGCCTATAGAGTCAGATGAGACACATTCCACCCTTACGGAGTGGCTCTTATGTGTGATCCTGCACACACCTCAGGAATGGTTCAAGAATTATTTCCCTTCCTGTAGGTCTCCTGATTAGCTGCACTGAGGAGTTATTTATGGTACACCTAAAAACGTGGCACTGTGCCCCATTACAATGCTTAACCCATAGGACAGCAATTTAAGTCTTCTGCGACCGTGCTTGCCGCCCTTGAAACTTCTCTGCTTTCCTTGGTTTGTCACATTTACTGTCACCACCCTGGTGATCTCATGATTTAATCCTGTTCATGATTTAATCCTGTCACTATACGTTTTCTGCTTTAGGCATGGCATTCCAGTCCATAGATCCTGTGACACGTGACGATACAATTTGTTTATCTGATTTGGCTCTTAGTTTTTCTTTAATACATTAAAGACCGTCTTTCACTGGTACAATCTTTTCTGTTATTCCTATACAGCTTGCACAACGGTGATATGCTGGTTATGCTCCACTGGTTCTTTTCCTTCGACCAAGTTTCTGACATATGCCATCTAGCTTCTTTAAAAATACATTTATTTCTCCATCTTTGTAAACTTTTACTATTACTGGCAGGGTTGTCTGTTTTTCTAAATTCTCTTTAAACAACATTTGTCCAACTGTTCCTGACTATTTCTTGCTTGAGTTTTGTCAGCTTCTGCCCCATCCGTCATTTGAGGATGCAGTGATCATTGACATCGCCTGTAAAGGACGTGCTGTCCTATACTGTGTATTATTTCACCTTGCCAACTTTCCCCTAATTCTTTGTTTAGAAACTACTCCCTAATCTCTTGATTTGCATGTCAGCAGGCTGCTTTTGTTTTGGTTTAGAAAACAAAGGATCTTTTTTATTTCAAATGTTCCTCAATTCATAAATAATCTAAATCTCCCTCTTTTTATTACAACTTTCTGCATGAAGGTGCCTGGAGGTAAAAAGGTCCCTCTGACACTGAGCGTGGCAATGGCAGCACTTCAGACAATTTTACCATGGGGTTCCTGGTCTTTTCGCTTCTACCCGACAGCTTCAATTTTGCCTCCAGTGCTTTCCTCCTGTCCATCACACTCCTCCTGGTACTCACTTGCCTCACAGCTATCACCTCCCCTCTGGAGTCCTGAGGACTGCCTAGGTGCTTCACCCAATGCACCAGCTGCTCCCAACACACTGCTAGGTCCTGTTTGCATCATCAAGCCCAGCTACCTATGCAACTAACAATCCCATTACCCACCAGCATTGTTTCTATCTTTTCACATCAGTTAAGAGTCCCATCCTTCAAAGTACCGCATAGCCATCGTCCTCTGGTCCAGACACTTCTCTGTCCCCAGCAACACCGGGACTGCTTAGCCTGCAGTAGTGGGTTTCATGATGTCCCTTCAGGTCCTGTCCATGATCTTTCTGCCTCCCTGAACTTTTCAGGCACTTTGGCCACAGAATACAGCAACCACCATGGAGCTGCTTGCAACATCAGACATATTCCACCCACCTCCTGGTAATCACAAATACAGCACTCAGTGTAGTAACCCGGGAATTTGCATTTCCTGCATATTGTCCTACTTGCATCCTCACTCTTTTGGGGTGGGGGAGGAAGGACAGGGTGGCAAGGCAATGCTAGCAGGCAGGGAACTGTTTTTTCTTGAAGAGTGATTAATAACTTCTATTTGTTCACTTCCATGGCCAATAACCTGTTTGGGGTGGGGTTTGTTTATTTGATTGGTGATAGGGATGGTGAACCTGAAAATCTCCTCTCCCCAACAGCCAGTTTGTCTCCACCCCAGTTCCTGAGCTGTGCTCCACACAGGCTGAAACCTACTCAGTTACCCAACCTTGATGAACTGGGAAAAGCTTGACGGTACTTTAACATTGCAGGCAAACATCCAGGACAGTATACTACTTGAATTAAAGACATTTACATTTATTAATCTAAATGCAAGAATCCACATTTGAACAAACCATCTAAATCAGCAGGTATTGGTCACAATTAAAACAGCTGAGAGAGCAATCCACCTCATCCAAAGGCAGTTCCTACTCTAACCTTCATTGAGTGCAATGGCTAGGGCCTCTGATCAGTTGTTTAAACCTACTTAGCGCCATTTAAAGTATTTTGGATATCCTGCTGGCCTCCAGCTGCCAACTGAAGAAAGGAATAGGTCTGCCATAGGTCCTCTGTCGTATCTGGCAGCTGCAGGCAGGTGCTCAGGTATCTCACACATACCTGGACTCCTGCGTGGGTAACTGAACCAAGCCCTAGACCTCCGCTGCCTCTAATGGGTGTTCAAATGTTTAACTCTTATGTAGGTACCTACATTTAGACTAAATTTAGGTGACTTAAACTTCAGCTGAATCCCATCCTACCTACTCAGAGCTAAGCCTATCTAAAGGACTTTACCAATTAATTAGCCAAATTCAAGTCCCACACCACAATATGCAAAAAAGATGTGTTAGTTTTTAAGATACTTATAAAAATTGCTCCACTATGATAAATAGTTAACCTCCTTAATATAATTTAAAACTTGTAACCCTTTAAGCACAAGAGTAGCAATATAAGTCTCAAAGGAAGTTTCCCTTATGAGTTGGCTGGTTGTTATTTTGTCTCCTACAGTGTGATGATTTACTGTCTTGTAACAGCTGTTTTTCTAAAAATTTACATCTCCAATTCTATCTCCCATTGTTATAGAAGTAGACACGCAATGTATTAGGCTTTAGCAAGTAACTAAAATAAGATACCACTGGTCTTCAGTGCTTGGGTTTAGAATTTCTTTCTATAATAAAGGGCTTTTGTGCTATCAAATTTCACTGTACATGAGCAAACAAAAAACTCTCACATGTTCAAAGACAAGGAAATGCCTTGTGAATTTAAGAGAAAAAGGAAAGAGATCAGAATGTGTGACACCAGTCACTTCATTATTTTCAGCTGGAGCTACTTAACAGATCTTTGCAACTGCTCTCAAACTGTGAAGCCCATGATATTACCCACTTGCCTTCAGGGCTTTGATTTCAGAAGCTTTTCCTGCCCAACTGCTATGTTTATTGAAGTGAGTCATAAAAGTTACATCTGGCATAATCAACATTGCTTTGGCTTCATTGTCTTGAGAAGTGGCAGAAACCTTGCTTTGTGTATTTGGCATCCTGTTGCTTATGTTTAGGAGACCAGTTATTCGAAAGCTAAATACCTGGAAAGACACTGCTCTCAGGCAGTTGTCTAGGTAACTGATATTATTTCATGTGGTCTCCAAACATGAAATGGAAAGGATATTTAAAAATAAAAAAGGAATCCCTACTCTGTGATGCATAGAGTCTCTTTTTTCAAAACTAGCTCATGGCAAACCTGTTATTCTGTGAGTGGTCCTTCTGGAATCAGGGACTGAGATACCACGTAATCTCAACAAGGGTTGTAGCATTAGATGTCAAATTTGCCTCGACGTCTAATCTGGATCATTAAGTATACTGAGATACATACAGCAAGGACACACTCCAGACATTGGTTTTAAAGTAGTTCCCAATATTTTATTACAATATAAATTAAAAGGAGACTACTAATATATAAAGTATCTCATTGTTATAGTTAGAAATTCTCAACTCTGTTCCTTGGAGAGCATGTTCTGAAGAAAACTGTCATGCTCTATTGAAGACTGGAAAATGCAGTTTTAAAATGTTCTTATATAAATTATTTTGTAGTTGAGGGATTTATTGAGCAGAATTTGGATATCACTGCAGCTAACAGCTTAGAACCATAAATGCCAAGTACTAACTCGTAAACATATGTGTAACTTTAATAAAGAAACACTGAAAATGCTATTTGTTAACTTTCCTACTTCAGTGACGGCAAGCCCTGATACAGACACCTTTACTTATTCTCTCCACAGAAGAGCAGAGTGAAGGTTGCCAGTAGTGTTTTGTTCGCTATTAACAGTGAAGAATATAAAGTGAAAACTTTGCTTTTATGTCCAACCCTTGCCAGTGAAACATGGATAACTGTTTAGATTACACTCATGGTGGTCTGAAAGAACACAAATGGTATAAACCCACTTCTGGGCCCACTTGCCAAGAAACGTTGCACTGATACTAGACAGGACTTTGTATTAACTTAATGTAGCATTGCATGCTAATAGTAAACAATTACAGAAAAAAAAATACACAGAGTACATCAGAGAGTCTGATAAAGGGTACTGCTTCCAAAAAGGCAATCTTTTCCACAAATCCACCCGTCATGTCCCAGAACCCTGGCTGGGCTACACTCACCACAGAGTAAGCAACTGCAACTGCATACAGTTCTCTGAAACAAGCTGCTCAATTATTTAAGGCTTATCTAAGTAGTTAAGCTGAATGCATGGCAAACAGAAAATTAAAAATACATGTGTGGTGTGGCTATGGTTTGGGTGTGAACTCAGGCATATTAGACCTTACTTCCTTCATATTCTGTTACTATCTTCAGGCAAGTATGCGAATAGAGAGTGGAAAATACAGGAGTGCAAGTAATACAGAAGAATAAACCATAGTAATAGCAAACAGTAGATGTGAAAAACAAGTTTTACATGAACACAGCAGCTACTAATGAGAAACTCACAAAACAAAGCAACTTAGCTGGGTAATACATTGTCACCAAGTTGGTTTGCGCCCTTTTGTGTTCCACGCTATAACCTACTTCCTGACTGAGCTGAGCTATGAAGTTGAGATCTAGAAAGTTAAAGACTTGTCCATCTTACCGTTAGATGTTCTCATCTGCCGCCTTCGTCCAACCCGGTCCAGGCCGATGGGAGTACTTTGTGAAAAGGTGAGCGGCCGGAACCTGGCTGAAACAGCTTTGTAAGGGGGGACCTGGTGTGCTGGAATGGGTGGCCGTGTTACAGGCTACAGAGAAAACAGGAAAATCCAGTATTAGTAAAGCTACCAGCAAGTCCAACTGAGCAAAACTCAGGTATGAAGTAAGGTTTCTTCAGATAGTCCAGCTAATTACAGGGGCAGTAAAATCCCCTACTTTGAAGTGACATTGCTTAAACACTGCATACCATATCCACCAGCACCACAGAAAATATTTTATTACGATACAGTTCTCTGTTACATTAAAAACTCCTTGGCCTTCTGTTAAGATCAGACATACTCTATAATTTTCATCTTGTAACACTCTGTGCCCAAACGCTCTGGGATCTAACTGCTGTGGGAACAGCCTGCGCGATGCCCGCTGGCGTTGGAAACACGCGTCTGAAGGGAAACCCAAAGTGAAAGAATGACCAGAAATGTTACGGCAGTAAGTTGTGTTCATTTCCTGGGACACTTGCTTTCTTCAAATAAATGTATTGCTTTTAAGTAAAATAAACATATCTTACAAGACAAAAACAATTCTTTAAATGATCCTCTGCTCTGAAGTTCCCAGGAGTCTCATTAAAAAGAGGTAATACTAAGTTTACTTGTAACTTTATCCAGAAGCCCTTTTCTTTAGTTAAATCATTCATCTGCGTAATTATGATTAGAGAACCTACCCCTGTTTTATTTGCAAATTGAGTCTAATTTTATGTTGTCCCTGAACAACTCCACATTAGCCAGGCTGAATGACCTTCCATAAACATCCAACATTAAAATGCCAGATCCCAGCACACAAACTTCAGGGAAACTTGTCTTTACATCTTAGCTTTCAGTTACTGTTCATAGGCCCTTGTCTCAAGTAATCTGAAAGATCAGGTTGGGTTTTTTATGATCTCTTGACACTTTATCATGAAACCAATGATTTAGTGTTATTTGAAAACGTTTTCTCACACCTAAGCTGCCAAACCAAAACAAAGCACAACAAAGAAGGAATTACCATTACACTTTTCAAATATTCCCAGGGGTTTTCAAAGCCTTAAGAAAAAAAATCAGCAAGGTGAAGATCAGTCTTTGAAAGCCCCACATAAAATACTTGTAGCACATGTATTCCTGCTTCATTAGTCCTTTCTTACATTCCAGCTACAAATTTGCTTTCTAATATGACTGCCAAAACCCTGCGTGTATTGAATATGATTTAACTACAACCTCATCTCTAAACCTCATTTCTTCAGTGCTTTAGCAATATATCAGGATCCTAGCACTGAGTAACACCACAAAGACTAAGTCCGATACATTGCATTAAAGAGCTAATAGAGGTGATAGCAATTCCTATATGCAAGTAATTGGCTGATTAAGCAACAAAGCTATTTATTTATGGGCAACTAAAATTTTCTTGTAAGGCTCCAGTCCAGATCCCTTCCCCGGACAGACAAGGATGTTCTGTCACTCAGTGGCAGGCCTGGGAAGGCCATTGTTTGGGTCAATAATGTGTTCCCGTTGGGAATGCTCCATAGTCTTGATCTCTTTTTTCCTCCAAGCTAAGTAGTGATAAAATTAATTTTAAAATATGCCAATTATGTAGGGTTTGAAATTATGGCCTTTGCCTGGGTAAAAGGTTCATTGGCTTCAGCTGGAGTTTTGCTTCAAGATGCATTTTTTCATCAGGGAATTATAAAGAAAAAATGTGCCATATACAATAACAATGTTCATGTTAAAAATTGCTCTTCACAGGAGACTAAAAATTCCGCCATTGTTTCAGCATTTGATTTCAGTTTGGGGAGTACAGTACCCATGAATGATACTCCATTGAACTTCCCAGCAGGAGATCAAGTAGCATGAGAAAGATTAAGAAGATTCAAATTCCATTAATAACCACTGGAATCACATTTTTTGACGATGTAAATACTATTCCTTTTTTCTGTTGCTTTATCAGCATAACAATTGCTTTAGGTACGAGTCCTCCAGCTTTTCTGGAAAGTGGAAAACACCCGATCAGTGCAGTATTACAAAAGCCTGTGAGCCTGAAGCTTTGTGTAACCAGCTACAAGATGGGGCCACCACTACCATCAGAACAGTAAGTTCCTCTACACGTCGCACCTGCTCAGGACTACCTCCAGGGAAAAAAAGGTGCTATTTTTATTTTTCAGAAGTTTTTTATTTCTCAGTCTCTTACCTAAGCCAACAGAGATGGCAAATAAGTATACAGGTGCTGCTCAAGCACTAACTCAAACACTCGCTATATTCTTCCAGGCTTCCTACATTCCATCAGGTCAATTTAGTAGTAAACAGGGTAGGGGTTTTTTTCATATTCACAGTTTTCTTAGACTCTTTCTTTATTTCATTAATTCCTTAATTTATTACCAAGTTTCTAAAGCTACTTCCTTATTAGCTTTAAGTATCATTGCTATGACAATACCGAGATTTTGGACGCCACAGCTAATGCCACAGGTTTTGAACAGGCCTGCTTTTGGCGAATTTGAAGTGATCAGTAAATAATGTGTTACTATCATATCATTTGTACTCCCCTGTTCCTCAGGCCCTACACCCCATAAGGTGACTAAACACACAGCTATATTACACACAAATCAGCTCTTATACACCAATAAGAGACATAACAACCATTCCAAGAAAGAAATAAGGTTAATTTACAATATGAAAAAGATTATCCCAAAGTCAGTATCAGTTTTATTCCATGCTGCTTTGTTTTTGAACAACAAGACAAAGTAATTAGTGACCAGGAAAGCAGAATTGTAAGTACATGATGTCAGCTTGACAAAAGGGAAGGAAGAGAAGGAAGCATCCATTCTATTTTCTAGGTTGAAGATACAGACAAGGAAGTGAAAGGGTCTTTTGCAGTTTGCAGAGAGCACATCTCTTATCTTACTTGTGTCAGCAGACCTTCTATCTCTTCCGCCGGACCGCTTCCATAGAAATTGACCCCACCTATTACGGAGATGGGTCTTCTTTTTCGCCCTCTGTGGTAGCCTACTGTATTGCTTTGGATCACAGACCCGACGGAAGCCAGTCCTGGCTGATTTTCTCCATCCGTGCAGTCTGTCTTCTGAGACTCCACCGCAACTGCATCTTCTGGTATAGAGAAACTTCTGATCGACATTTGGCCATAGTCTGAGAGAGGTCTGGGACGAGATCTTTTTCCAGAGCCCCATCTCCTGGGTGTGACCTTTTGTGTGTCTGTCTTTTCTTCATCCTGGGATGGGGACCTCTTCCAGTGGTCATCAGAAACAACCTTTTTAAATGTGAACAAGTCAAATAAGCCACAGAATTTTCTGACACTTAATCATTTGTGAATTTTTCATACGAATTTTTCATACGGCAGATCAACTTAACATTGCTAAAAAGAAAGCATTACCATAGTAAATACAATAAATGCAATTGACAATTCAGGAAGAGAGTAACTTTGCAAAGGAAAGACGTCATGATGGTTGTACTGAGTAAGGTTAACACCCACCCATCAGCACCTCTTAGGCAAACATGAATAATAACACTAAAACCTCACCTATACCCTCAGCAATACAGACAGGCCCTATCATAAACACTGAACATGCTGAATGATGTCTTGGAAAGAGAGCTCTGGCACTCACAGCGCTTGTTCCTGTGCACAAGTAGGATGCTACAGTTACACCAGGAAAAATAATTCAACCAGCACACTCTGTTTCTGGACCTTCTACCAAAACCTGTAATGACAGGACAAGGGGCAATGGTTTCAAACTGAAAGAGGGTAGGTTTAGATCAGATACAATTCTTTACAATGAACGTGGTGAGGCACTGGAACAGGTTGCCCAGAGAAGCTGTAGATGCCCCCTCCCTGGAAGTGTTCAAGGCCAGGTTGGACTGTGCTTTGGGCAATAAACTATAAGGCTGCAGCATGGCTGCTTGCCGATCCCACGTAACTGCAAGCCGATACCAAAAGGGGCCGTTGCACCCGCTCCTACCACTCGCTCCCACATTCTCACTTGGGTAAGATCTAGAGATTGCACAGAATTGGGTGGGTGAGCTCATCCAGTTTGGAAGTGAGAAGCTAATTTTCTATACACTCAGGGAGGTTACAGTTGTATGGAGTAGGATCAGAGATACATTATAACACAAATAAAGGAAAAAGGAAGCTTGGAAAATGAGTATGTTGTTCCTATGTAACAGCACACCTGACTCACGGAGGTTAGGGCCTACAGGTATCATAATTGCACTTGGTACTGCAAGTTTGGAAATAAAATAACCTCAACTGAAATACTTGTTAGTGGGAACATTTGTAAGGATTTCAATGCATTTGGAGTAATACTGCCGTAAACGTTTCTAGCAACCCCCCCTGCAGTTTTTATTTCGAGGAAAAACACTGCACTTAAAAATTTATATTCACTTTTCTCTCAAATTTCCAAATTCTCAGCATTTCCTTAGCTTTTCCTTGCTCCTCAATAAAGAACAGAAAAGAAAGAGAGAGAGGAAAATGGGTGTTTCTGGGCTGGGTGGCAGTTTGCATGAATGCCTGATGGAGAGAATGGCAAACTCCAAAGCACTGCTGAGCAAGCAAACCCTGCCCCAAGTTCCCATAGAAATTATGAACTAATTCTGACCTTTTTTTTTTAGTAAAAAAATCAGCCTACATCTTTATTAGGGTATCCTTACACTACCCAAGTGCATTTCTGATGATGTTCAAAGCTAGTAAGTATTCCAGAAAAAGAAGAGGCATCATTTTGTCTGTCTCTGGCTAGGTTTTGTTCATCTTTTACAATGACGCCCGTGAAAGGGGACTTATCTTCTGTCACCTTCTTCTCCACCTAATGTTTCCAACCAGGCCAGTACAACTCCAGTGAGCCTTTTTTTAGAAGGCCACCTGAAAGAGATTTCGCTTTTCATTTGAAAGACAGCTTAAGACCAGTTTCCCTGTATGAAACCACTTCAGCTAGCAGGCAGTTATTAAACAGTCAACATTTTAACATGATTACTGCAATTAAGGTATGAAAAATGATCAATGTCATACCTTGCGCTACATTCAATTATTTCACTTACAGCATGAAATTTGTTCTAAATAAAGCACTTGCATAAATTCTGATTTCTATGGTGTCACACCTGTCACTCAAGCATGCTCCAGCTTTTCTGCAGATTTTAACTCAGGACCAGTTTTAATAGTATAAGCGATTCAGTAGAGAATCAGAATCAGGACCGACGCAGTTTCAGCAAAGCTGTCCCTTAAACCAGCTCCTCCAAGGCCAGAGCAGCAAAATCACAGGTTAAATAAGGTTCTTACCTCAGAATCAGACACAGGTAAAGGGTCTCCACATATGCAGTGACTGAGAAAGGAGCTCATGAGAGTCATTTTATGTTTTTGTTTTGCAGTCTGGACTGTAAGAGCTACAAATGTGAACACTCTCTGCATAACCAGTCAGGCGAAGTTCATCCCATGATCCTGTACTTTTAGACTGAGGGAAGGACACGTCACATGTCATCTCCTAATCTGCTTTTTACACCCTTATCTTGAGCAATAACATTTGCAAAGAAAGGACTGCTCTCCTTCTGCAGCACTCCACCTACAGTAGTGACCCAAATGACAGCAAGATTAGTCTCTGCTGTGCAATAAACAATGCTGAAGGACGTGTATTTTTAGGCTTAGATTTATAAACTGCATTGAAGACTACTAATAAAACAGAAAATGTAATCCTCTCATAGCAAAAATCAGAGGAAACCAGACGGATAACCTCACATTCCTCTAAGTGACCTACTCAAGCAGGACCTGATCAAGTGACCACTTACTAGTAGGAATAAAATATCCAGCACACAACTCATAGGCTCCAGTGTTGTGGTCACTTAAGCATAAGTGTGATTCTTGACATCAATGAGAAAATTCTGAATAAACAATTTTGTTCCACTTGTCATTGGCTTTATACTGGTGCAGCACCACTGACCTCAAATGACCTTCTCTTGATTAATCCTTTATAAGTGAAATCAGGTTTATGTTCTACAATTATTATCGGTAACATCTATAGACATGAGTAGAGATATACACGGCACTTCATATAGGATGAAAATAAAAGTGTCATGCACTGACTCATGCATTGTAAGTGTTGGTCAAACATTTCAAGGAATTTCAAGATTTCTGAGGTAAAGGTCTAAGCTGAATCCACATTAGATTTTCTGAAATTCACACCTGCTAGTATAGCAACAGCACAGGATCACCAATGCTAGCAAGCAAGATTATTGATCTTGTTTTTTAGGCTGCATCCTAGGTTAGTTTTCTTCTGAGACTGCAAACTAACAGCTCTACTTATTTATACTGATATAAATGAATTAATTTTATCTGGACAGCTAAATTCCTACAACAGCATATTAGGTAAATTGTTGTATTTTGATAATTTTCCTTTTTTTTTTTTTTCTGATAGCAGTATATCTACAAATACAACCATTTAAAATAAACATTTACTTTGATCCAGGCTACAGTTTTATTTGCTATTGTTCCCATGTAATATGTCACTCTTAGGGTGGGATTCAGCTCCAGATTCCAACATCTAAATTTTGATGTCTGCAATGGAGGTGTCTGTATGTTATCTAGATGTTAAAGTTGTCATTGTAGCCTGTAGAAATCTGGGGTGAGATTTTGCTGCCTGAACATAAGCACCCAGGGCCATTTCAAATGTCTTAAGGGATCTAAAGTATCTCCACATACCATGCATCACGCAAGTACGACACAGCACCTACAGGAGGCATCGTCCATCCAGAAGCAGCGCCTGGAGATGGCAGGAGGAACCAGTCAGGGCGCCTCCGGCAGCGCCGGGCGCTCGTGTTGAGCAATCGAGTTGAGCCCTCAAACAAGAGTGTCAGCCAAGCCTACAGAGGACCACAGGCAGGAATCAGGTGCCAAACCTGATTGCAGGTAGAAGCAGATGGCACTACAACCATGTTCCCCAACGCTGTGGAGAACCCTGCTTGATCCCCACCTCCTGCTCCAGCAGGATGCAGCTTCCCTGCAAGGTGCTTCCCAGCTGTGCACAGCTGTGGTGGATACCTGCCCCTCATTGCATTTGATGGCTATTTTTAGGTAACTCAGCTCAGCTGCAGGTACCACTTTCAGGTGTGCTGTTCAGGGTGTGCTCCCCAGGGCCCCCTGACTGCACCAACCAGGCTACAGCTGGAGTTTCCCCAGGCTGCTCCCAGGTAGACCTGAGCTCAGCCAGACCAAATCTCTCCTTTGCCCGGGCCCAGACTGATTTCCCAATCCAGGCACAGCAGCTTCAGGGACTTGATCATGATCTCACTGAACTCCACCTGGCACTGATACAACCCTGTTGCATTTAATGGCACATGACTGCTGCTGGCATTCCCTGTTATTCATTAATACCAATGTAAGCAACCTCAGCATCAGGTGGTTAACCACTAACATCTTAGCTTAGCCTTTATAGCCAGACAAGAGCCAGGTTCTGCAACTATTAGTCAGATTACAGTGTATATTTGATAAATTCAACAGCCAAAACTGTCTTCAGAGGGAACGCTGCCCAAGGAGCATGAGATCTGATCTGTAGAGTGCCGATAAAGTGTTGCTTATATGGATGCAACTTTTATCAGTGAAATGGTAAAAAATTGCCGGTACCTGACATTGCATGGCAGGACTTTTTCTGGCAGAGTTATAGCAACCATGAATAACCCTTCATCCTATACGTGACCACACTCTCCACTGCAGAAAAAGCCCAAACTAGAAGTCTGACCCAACACAGCCTGTTGCTCGTCAGCCTGCTGCTGTTGGTATGCTTGTGAGGGCTGACATACAGCTGCCATCATGATGGCAAAGGAAAAACAATCCCTGGCTGATTTTTTGTTAATGTGTTTATGCCAATAAACTCCCTAAAGAAAATAAAATCACTGCTCTATAAACATGTTAATGCCTGAGTACATTGCTGAGGCTCCTTGCTCACTAATCTGCATTTCCACCCATACCATTACCTATTTGGATTTTTTAAATTTTATTTGTATATTCTAAATGTACTGACACAATTAATGCTTCATAATGTATATAAATAGATAAGCATGGCAGCATAAGGGGACACTTAAATCTCCCCAAAGTTTTTTCTCTACCTGGCAATCTGCTGGGAAGTCACAGGTAGGTGCAAGGACAAGGACCTCCAGCCTTGCTGGTCTGCAGGGGCATGAACATCCTCCCCCCTGTCCGCTGCCAAAGCAGCAGCTGCGCCGCAGGGCCACACAGACACGCTGCTGCTGCTGCTGCTGCTGCTGCCCATGAACCCCGGGGAAGCTGATGCTCAAGGGAATTTCATAACCTGTTTTTCACTAAAGCAACTGGCCTCCTTCTGCCTTTTTTATTTTATTATCATTTAGCTCCACAGTAAGTTGTATTGCTTCTTGTTTGGGTATCTCTGTATTTTTGAGCTGCCTGGCTGAAATGCAACCTTGCTAACTACAGGTGCCTTTTTCTAAGGAGAAAGGAGATAATCAAAATCTAATCATGTCTTTGCAAGAAACGCATATTCATTTTCAAATGCAATTTATAAAAAGCTGTGATAAATGAAACAGATAATATTTCTGGCTGAGAATAAATTACAAAGAAAACCTGACTAGTGTCAGAACACGATTACTCCATATTTTGTGTGAAAACTTGTGATGGATAATCAGTCATGTATTTTGTAAATGACAAGGCTTAAAAATGGAATATTTATAGGTAAAAATCACAGCATTTGTGCTATTTCATGTAGATATCTCTCTGTTTTGATCACGAGTACATATTTCTGTGTGCGTTTTGAAGTCTGTATAAAAATGTACAAACTTCTTACGCTTGCAATGACAGCTATATGCCAGTATTATAATTGGTTAGTATTAATTAGCTGATATTTCTGTATAACACATTAACTGCCAAGTGCTAGGAACTCACTAGTAATATTAGAATTCATTTTTCAATTCACATAAGCTAGCAAAACTGTAACGGACCAAGTGATCATGACCTAGTTGTCATAAATTATTTTATCATCTTCACTTAACAGAGTGAAAGTCCAGACAACGTGTCTCTTCATCCAGGTACATGATAAAGGGCAACCTTTGCACTTTTTCTTGTTGCTAAATAGCAGTGGGGGAGCATTCGTTGAAGTTCATTTATCATCACTACTAACTGAGGTCAAAAGCTTGTTTTATGTTTCATGGACATGATCAATATTTTTATTTGCAAACTGTTGTGACAAAGAGATTATGAGACTCTGAATGTAATACAGCTTCCCAGAGAAAATATATTTATTGCTTTCTGTCCAGATTTTATAAAAAGATCCTGAAGTGTTACGAGATCCCAGTGGTTCCCTGTTGATCCAACAGGCTGACAATTTCCAACAGTGATACCATCACAGCAATAGTTATCATGGAAATGATTGCTTTTACTGTAGAAGATGCACCCATTCAGCCCGTGTTTGCATCTCGCAAATGAACAGAATTATTAAACCAGTCCAATTCACCTACAGGAAGAAAATTTTCATCTATTCCTTTCTAACTAAATGCAAATTGCACTATATCCTTTTTCTTTACATGCCTGTGCCTCCTCTGCCACTAGCACCTTTTCTTTTTAATTAGCCTTTGAGAAGACCCCGAATAAATGCATTGATTATCTCTGCCTAGAATGCACAGTGCTATTCACCCTGTGGTCTGCAAGACAGGAGGATACTATCAGTGAAACAACTGCAAAAAAACTGTTTAAGAACATATGCATTTACATCTATACAAACAAGCAAAGCAGAAGAAACCAAAGTAATACAATCATATTAAAAAATTCATAATTTTTAGCTGCTTAGAAGTTATAAACATTATAGCAAGATAATCTGCCTTTTCTTCCCTCCTCTCCCCCCAAAACTGGGTGGATCCACAGTGTAAAAATTGGAAGAACACTGCTTCAAACGGGGAGCCCCTAAAGGAATACTAGTGAACTATACTAGTATAAGCTCTTAGAATGGGTGCAGGAAAAACTATGCATTGTCATAAAGTAAAATTACATTACTGGGCCTTGTAATATGGTAAAATCAATCCCCATTAGCAACACAAACTACTGTGGTAAACACTCATTTTGGAAGTTTTAGAAATTGGAAAAAAATTGTATAATTCTACTCTTGGGATTTGCTGACACTAAAGCAATTGTGGTGTTTTAACTAATACACCTGTAAAACCACACTAAAAGGTCAGGCTATATAGATACAACCAACAACAAAATTTGGCCATGTCTTTCTAAGGCATTGTTAACACAGGTTTGCTTCCTTTAACCTGATCCTTGAAAGCCTGCTTATCGTAATCAACAAGCATAATGCTTTCCCTCTCAGCAACATGCCTTACCAAGATTAGCAAGTTCACCTTCATAATATCCACATTTCACAGATAAGGAGCAGACACAAAGCAGTTAAGTCATGTAAGTCACAGAGGAAGCACAGGGCTGAACTGGAAACGACAAGCGGATCTCATGACTCTCAAATCTGTTCTTCAGCCTCAAGGATTTCCTTCG